AGAAGATTTAAAGGGAATCTCTTCATACCCAGTTTTGACAAGAACATGATATAGATTCATACATCTATATAAAAGCTGTGAACATATCTGATAAGCTTATTTAGTCTTCTTTACTTCGTGAAGGTGATATGTCAGCAAACATTTCTTAAACAGTTCTTAAAAGGATATTGACAAAGCTGAGTTTCAAAGCATAACCTGTTGTTAATGGTTCTATTTTGTTGCAGCCACTGCAGTTGTCATGTAAATATAATATAAGCATAGTGCTCTTTTATAGTTGCATGCCTACATGCAGATACTGCTTTCACACCAATGATTTCATTAATTAGGCTTTCTTACAGACAAGAGGACTACCTGAACAGAACTCAGTGCAGGATTGATAGACTACAAAATAAGGCCCAAATCCAGCAAATATTTATGTCTGTAAATAGTCCCACTGGATTTAACAAGACTACTCAAAATGCATTGTGTTGCAGGACAAAGGCCACGATTTAGTGCTGTTACATTGAGTGAGACTTGTAATTATATATTAGGCTGTAATATTTTGACACTCGGTACAAGAAAGTAATGCAATAGCTTAAGACCACACAGAAGCTACCAAAAAATTGCTGTATGCACTTAATAAAATAACTTAGAAATTGATACCTCTGCATTTTTATATAGCTGATTTTGTGACTTACTACAGGTGGAGTATCTTTAACAGTCAAAGTGTAGTGAACAATTATTGATTGACATGATTTTCAAATAGGACTACAGAGTTTAGTTGCCTGTTTTGGTGGTACCAGCTGAATAAGTCTGATTTTCAAGAAGTGCTGGGTACCTACCATCTGTAAATAAGGACCCATTAAGGGGTTTAACGTTGGGCTTTATTCACTGGAAAAAATCACTAGTCACTTAAAAAAAAGACAATTCTGCTATGAAAAAAATTTATGATCCCATTACCATAATTTTCTTTTTTCCTTCCGGATTATTCCCTTTGCAGTTTATATTAGAAAAAATAAATTTTCCTCTAACATAATATGCACCTATTAGAAACATGACTGTATGTAATATACATTGTTGTTGTTATTGTTGTTGCAATATAAATTTAAATAAATAAAATAATTTTGCTCTATATACTCATATTAATTTTATTAAACATCCTGTGTATGGCCTAAAAACTATTGGAACAGAAACTATTATTTATTGTGTGTATGTGCTCGTAGTGTGCTTAATTCCTGTTCTGCTAAGTACTGTATAAATACTTAACAAAAAGACATTTCTGGACTTTAAACTTTTACAGTCTAAACTGGCAATAGTCTTATCTTTGTATACTGTAGTAGTCTCTAGAATAGTGGTTCTCAACTGGGGTGCCATGGGAGCAGCAGCCAGGTAAAACTGCTCTACTTGTTCCCCATTTCTAAGCCTAAAGCAGGCAGCAAAGCTGTCTCATGCAGTGGAGTGATTTGTGGTCCAGCTCCTATAGTTCTCCCAGAAACAGGCCTGTGTGGCACTGTCCCATCCACTTTTAGTTCTGGAGATGCGTAGGGGTACCAGAGCAGGTAGGATTACACTGTAGGGGGCAGCTTCTGTCTGCTTTAGGCTGATCTGAGAGCATTAATGCAGGGACAGTGCATGCACATGGCCCAACCCTTCCCAGGCTGGCTGTGCAGCAGGCATGCAGGGCAGTTCCATCTGGGAACAAGATAACCTGGCTGAGAAGCACTGAGGTGAGCTGAGGCAGAACCACAGTGGTTCTCCGACAGAGGTACCACCACATTCAAAAAAATGGAAGTGGGATGCCGTGACCCTTAAAAGGTTGAGCAGAGCACCACTACATTTTGTTAGCAACCGTACAGAGAAACGAGTTCCTTCCCAGGAAAGCTTGGAGTTCTGGATTCTCAAAAGGTACAAGAAGTCAAAAAAAGACAAGACTGGTTAGAGTGAGAATACAATAGGAAAGGCAGACATCTTTGCATAAGTAGTCTAAGGGTTTTTCTACGTAGGGATGTGATATCAGATTATCATTCATATTACAGTGCCTTGCACTTACACACAACTACACATTTTTTTTATAATTTTTTATAAATTACCAGGCACCTTTTGCTGCAGTACTTAATCCTCTTTGGAACAGAAATAAGTTGATTTCAGAGTCTGTTCATTTTAAGTTCACAAGAACACATTCCGTACTATGCTTCAGACAGTCATCTCGTTGCTATCACACATTGTATGGCTTCACACTTGGATCAGGTGCCAAATTTTCACATCTGCATGACTGACCCATTGCTTTGTTAAAATAAAAACATCCTTCTACGTCTCCTCAGGACCTACCTGAAGAAATCAGGCTCCACGGTAGACAGGCTGCAAGGATGAAATTATTAACCTTTTTCTGCCTTTCTCTAATTGCACCCTCCCAGCACTGGTACAAGGGCACTATTATAACAGGAAAGTAAGTTGGAAGACATAAACATTTCAGAGTGAATTGCAAAACTGGGAAATGCAATTTTTTATCATTTTTGGCACGGGGACTAGTCCTTTCTTTGTTTCCAGGTCCTTTTGACAAGGTAATTTAGCAGAATTTGCAGGTTCATTAGAATTTGACAGGACCATGCCACAAGCGCCTTGAATTTGCTGTGGCCTTGAATTTGTGACCTCTGAGCTGATAGCCTTGAGTTTACGATCTCTGGGCTGTCAACCATGTGCCTTGGTGTGCCTACACCACCCCAGCCTCCACGGTGACTAGTACGAGGACAATCATTTGGTAATTTTTGTGATTTTCCTTAGCACTTGCAATGTTATGGACTGCCCAGAGCCCTTCTCATCCCAATAAAAGGCTGCCAAACCCCCAAAGTAGATAAAAGAAGACAAGAGCTATTCAAGTAGTTTGTGACTGCACCTAACAAAAGGTCATAAAAGCTTCTGCCTTTATAGGGTTATAGGGAAGATTTATTGAAACAATCCTTATGCTTGAAACGTGGTGCACATCAACATATTTCCAGTCATGTCCTTGGTTACAATACATTCATTCTCTCTCATTTACCACCCTACCCTATTTCTCTTAACATTTGGAGCATTTTCCAGAGGCCTCGCTTTGGCTGTCCATAATTTTCAGGAAGTCTCTCCACTTCCAGTCCTTTTTTCCCCCTGAGCTGGGAACTACCTCCTTTATTTTCACAGATGTTTTGCAAAATTCTGCAAGCACTTTTCACTAGAAACATGTGAGATGCATTCGGCCTTTTCATGAGGCTCAGCCACCTTCCCTTGTCTTTCACACATATTACACCTACATTAGCAGCTGAATGGCAATGAAGTGTAAAACAGCTTCCTAAACTCATCCAAGTGACCAGCAAAAAACTTCACTAACTAGAGAATTAGAATATAAACTGGAACTTCTAAAACAACAGGAAGAATCTTAACTCTATTAATGTTGATAGTGATTTGAGGAACAAAACATTTTTTTGTTCATTCCAGAAATAAGGAATAAATTTCTAATTATCCAAGAGGCTATTTTTGTATCTTTGTGAATTTTTAGAGTTTTTGTCATTTATAGATCTTTTCCTGCCCACCCTGCAACCTTCATTGGTGATTAACCTAAACTTGCAACATGATGGAGAATTTGCCTTCCTGTTGATAAAAGTTTTTGGCTAGTGTGTGAGGCTAAGATGGCTTGAGGTTCCCATGTGTATCCCCATATGGTTTTGCAACCTCCTCTCTGCAAGCTCATCCTGTACAATAACTAAGGATCTACCTAAGTCGCAGTGAGACGATGAGTTTTTTGCGGCCTGCTTGTGGTACAGAGCTGATTTTGCAGAGGCTCTGCCTCCCACTGCTGATTGGCAAACAGCGCCTTCATTCCATCTACATCACTACCACTTTCTCTGCTCCTCTGGACTCCTTCCAGTTTGTCTACATCCGTCTTAAAGACTTGTGCCTGAAATGGGACATAATACTTCAGCTGAGGCATCACTAGCACTGTACAAATAGTTACTTGTGTCATATACGTGGCAGGCCTATTAAAACATCCAAAAATAAAACCTCTCTCTTTTGAAGCACTATCACAGTCTTGACTAATATTCAGTTTATGATTACTATAATCTTCTGAGCCTTTTCCCTCTACCTGTCCAGTTATACCCCACTGTGTATCTGTGCATCTTTTTCCCTTCAACAGAGCTGTACTTTGGGCGTATCTTTACTGAATTTAATAAAAGCTTCAGCCATTCTTAAAAGGTAGTCACATTCCATTTATCATTTACCTGCATGTCCTTTAGCAGAAGAGGCTGCTGGCCAATTACTCTTCATACAAAAAGCTTTCTTTTTAATTGTTTTCCATGTAATTGCTGTACTATTAATTTAACCAAATAACCCTGTGGGAAATTTATTATTTTTGTGTGCAGTGCATTTTACCCACTCACTATTGTTCAGCTATCTACTTGGTTTTAAGAAGTTAATTCCTTTTCACAATGCCAAGAGCCTGGAATAGGAATTTGAGTGGGTCTACTTCTGAATGAGACACTTATTCAGGTCTGTAAGCAACTGGATAGGCAGCAGAGAAATACTTTTTCCAGATCCCTAATAGATAATCCTCAAAATGGGAACAATGGAAACTGACAGATGTGCAGGCCCCTGCTCTATTCACGGTGCTTTACATGAAGCGCCATAATTTAGAGCGCCCGCCCCCCCCACCCAACAGATGTTCGCTGGTTGGCTTAGGGGTGGTAGTGATTGAATCTGCCTGCAGCAGACAAGTTGCCTGTCTCCCCCAGCCCCACTCTGCCCCCCGATGGGGACACAGCAGACACTGAAAGAGAGGGCTCGCGCAGACGCGTGCATCAGAGAGACACCCTCTCATCCGAGCAAACAACCACAACCGCCACCGCCCCTCTCCAAGGAGCGCGCGGACCGCGGGCCACGTGACCCGAATTCGAACGCCGGGCGCGCCACTGACGCAGCAATCTTGCCCGTTTCGCCCCGGCACGCATGCGCGGCTCGCCCCTCTGAGGCCGAGCCCTCCGAAGAAGCCTGCATCTCTCTCCCTATTGGCTGACCAGGGACTCGTGACCCGCTGTTCCAACGGCCGCCCGCGACTGGGGTCCCCCCTCCCCCTCCAGCTCCTTTTCGCCGCATCATTGAGCGTCAGCGGCGCGGGCCGAGGCTGGTGAGTGCGCACGCGCGGGAGGGGG